TGGACCGAGGAACAGTTAGGACTGAGGAGCGGGTTCTTCTGCACAGTAGAGCTGAGCGGCTGGCCCAGTAGTCTAACATGGTGGTGGCGGGAATACCAGGCTGGCCACTCCTTATTCGCTCCATAAGACGCACAGACATTTTCCCCCATTTTTTGGGGAGAAAAAAGTGCGTCTTATAGAGCAAAAAATACAGTAAGTCTCTTGCAATCTTCAAAGGATAAATTCACCTTTGGGAACATATAACATGTTCCCAAAGCCGCAGTTGCTGCCCCCCTACAGATAGTATGGGGAGAAGTCTGCCTGTACAATCTGTGAAATTTAAAAACAGCGTGGCCGTGTTGGGCTCCTCCCACACGGCTGCGTCATTCATTCACGGACTTCTGTAAATGAATGAACTGCAAGTTCCGACAGCCTTAGTGGCTCTTGGTTTGTAGTTTTCTTTTACAAAGGTTTTATTAACAAATGGTATATACATACAGAGCCATGTAACTGAGATACCAGAAAGATGTATACAATATAGTACAAAGTACAGCATCAAATCATGACAAAATAAGAGAAATAGCAATGGGCAGGTGAAGGTCAAAAGAGACTTGACCAAGGTATGGAAGTGATGTTCTGGTGCACATAGAAATCAAACTTAAAGACCAGTAACAACTTAAATACTATATTAGAGGTGGATCCAGAGGGCATCAAGCCCTAACAGTAGAAAAAGACAACTACATGGAGTTACAGTATCTGCTCGGCCCTAAAGCCAATAAGGTATTGTTGAAGTAAGGCATTCAAATACATTGTAGAAAAGAAAGATCATCAAGAAGAAATAGAAGGAAACCAAAAAAAGAAGAGAGGCAAAAAGAAGAGAGAACGTAGAGGAGAAAATCTCATTCACACCATGGTGTAAAGCGCCAGCTATCCTGCACTCACTCTACAGGAACTTAGCTAAATTAGTCTCCGCAAAGGTGCAGAGCACAGCAGCACAAGCGACAGTCAGCGAGGCGCGTTAGAGAAGCGATCTAAATGAATTTAATGACAAGTGCCGTTTGCGTACTTGTCCATGGCAAGCTGTCACTCCCATGGTGTGGATGTTAACCTAAAACAGAAGGAAAAATAGAGATGAGAAAGAGGAAAGAAGAGGAAGACTTGTAGTTTTCAATGAACTACCACGGCACTGTACGACAAGCAGATATTCTGACAGGTCTGCAGGAGACCTGCATGGCATCAGCAATCTACTGATCACTGGTGCAATGCCTTCCAAGCTCCAATAGACAAAAATAATAAATACACATTTTGTTACCTGCAAAAAAATGTGCATTTGTTATTTTTGCCTAAAAGGTGAAGTTCTCCTTTAAGCAGCAGAGCTCAGACTAAGAGAAGCAGAAACAGCACAAATAGCTGCTACTCTTTTTGCTGTACAGTCACAGTCAGGGGTATGGACAAGACTAGTAAGAACTGTTACTTAACTATAGCCAAGAACAACCAGGTTTCCTGCTCTACCAGACACGGCTATGCTTTGTGAGCCTGGGTTCACACTTGTGTGGTGTGGCTTATTGCATGTGATTCGCACATGCTAGAATCGGATCACATGGGTATTCACACTCATGCGATCTGACTCTGCACATCACACTGCGCTTTGCGGACCAGTTTCGGGGTGTGGTTAACTTAACATACACACCCGCAGTGGTTCGCATGAACGGGGTGCGATTGTGATGTGGTGTGGAATTTGCACAGAAACCGCTGAGAATTCTGCACCGCATCAGTGTGAACCCAGGCTGATAGCGCTGTGTAAATCACAGAATCGGATAGAGAGAAATACAAAATCCTTTGGCAGGTAAGTTACTTTATCTGACATTAATCTAGCAGTTTGCTGCAGACATTTCTGAAAATTTACATTGGTTCAGCTTGGCTCAATGTGAGTGTCCATATCTCATATCTCATAATCATCGCAGTAGTCTGTGCAATATTCAGTGAAAGCAATGCTTTCAGGCTGCTGCTCCAGCTGCTTTCCCTCTGCACATTGAACACAGAGGATCACCTGCTCAGCAACCCCACTACTCAAAGAACTCCCTGTTTTTGTTCTCAAAAATACAAGGGGGAGGTTAACCCTAGGTTCACATCTGTGCGGGTGGTGCTGCTGCGGATCCACACGAAAATCCATGCAGCTGCACCACAGAGAAATGCGGACCCGCTGGCGGGTGCCATTAGTTCTAACGGCACGCCGCCCGCACTGGAAAACGCAACCGTATTGGGAACCGAGGTTCCTGTGCGGGCTGCGTTTTTTCTAAAGAAGTGCTGGGACTTCTTCCCTGCGTTTCACGGGGCACGGGAGTCCATTCAAATGACTGGACTCTCGTGCCCGTGCAAAACGCAGCCCACACGCCCGCATATATGTGAACCGGGGGTTACTAAAACTGGTGCACGTAGAAACTGCTGCAGCTGTGCATAGTAACCAATTAGTTTCCAGGTTTTATTGTCAAAGCTTAAAGCAGAGCTCCACCCAAAAGGGGAAGTTCAGCTTTAAGCCTCTGTCCCCCGCTCCCCATTAAGGATTGGCACCCTTGCAGAATGGGGGGGGGGGGGGAAGCGAGTACCCGAATTTGACAGGTGCAATCCTGCCCCCCTCTCTCCCCATAGTCTTCTGGGACACATGACAGGTCCCAGAAGACTACGGGGCCATTCACAAAGCGCAGTGCTTCTCACTCATGCTCAGTGGGCACCCGGCTGTGAAGCCCCAAGCTATCACAGCCGGGTGCCCACACTGAAGATGCCGGCACCAGGGAGAGAAGGCAGCTGCTGAAACCAGCCGTAGTGAGTACACCACTGGACCGAGGGACAGGTAAGTGTCTGTACAGTAAAAGTCAGCAGCTACAAGTTTTTGTAGCTGCTGACTTTTTATTATTCATTTTTTTTTCATCTGGAACTCCGCTTTAACTGAATAAGCTGAAGTTAGAAGCTGATTGGTTACTATGCACATCTGCACCAGGTTCTGAGAGGAGAGGTGGATGATGAGATCTACCTTGTCCAATCAAAGAATTTTAATTGCTGGAGTTCCACCTTAAAGGTATTAAAACACATCATTCTGTTGCAATCTGCAACTGGCTTGATTTTCTAGAGCTGGAAAAACTGTCATATGTTTCCTTCTCTGTAGTTAAGGCAACATCCAGAAGTATCATTTCCTGCTTGTGTGATTGGCTCATGGCTTTTCCTAGCACTTTTTGTCTTGATACAACAATGGGGCTGATCATATGATCACAGCATGCAGCCATTCTACTTATCTACATAGCAAACACATGGAATATTCTGCACGGAAATTTGATAAAAATCACTGGAGTTTACATAACTGACCTAGGAAGGATTATTTTTTTTTAATCAAAAGTGAAGTTATTCTTTGGAACCTAAATAAACAACAAACAAAACATTTTTGGATTTACTGGGAAAGATTTTACTTTTCTTTCATGTTACCATGTCTGTTGGGCCCCATAGGGGAGATTTTACTTTACTTCCTATCCCTGTGATGTCTGTACAAGAAATAAAGGCGATGTTGATATTATCGGGAAAGGAAAGCATAGACAGCAATAAAACTTTTGTCTGAAGTTCTAACTCTTTCATTTTAATAAAAATATGTCTCTAAAGGGCTCAAACTTGTCCCTTCCTTTATAAAAAAAAAAATGTTTTGGTTGGAATTGGGCTTTTCAATGTCTCCAGACAATACTTTGCTGAATTTTTCTAAGAAATAGCTATTGTTCCCCAGAGATATGTGTTGGGTGCTGTAGTATAGTGCAAGATATATTAGATGAGTGGAACTGTCAAACAACCCCAGAAGACACACAGGGGTTGATTTACTAAAACTGGAGAGTGCAAAATCTGATGTAGCTCTGCATAAAAAAACAATCAGCTTCCAGGTTTTACTGATAAAGCTTAACCAGTTCCATGGCTCCCTATAGCAGAAAGGTGCTACAGGGTGGCACGGGTGTGCAAAATCACGTGTATATATGTGATTTTGCAGCTCCGGGTAGGGGGCAGGTGCGCATCCATTCGCAGCCTCCGCTGTCAATCACCGGGTGGCGGCGAGAAATCATCAGCTGGGATCCGGTGAATGACAGCCAAGGCGGCGAATGGCGGAGCGCCCACCCCCTACCCGGAACCACAAAATCATGTATATATACGGTGATTTCTTGCCGCCACCCGGTAATCATCGAGTATCTCTTACGGTAGAGAGACCTGTGTATAAACAACACAGATCTCTCCCCTGTCAGCTCCTGCACACTGCTTTGTATGGCTGTGCATAGCATAGTCAACATAGTGAAACAGCACATAGTTAACGCTTTTTGATAGCCCCAGTGTTGACCCCTTCCTGCCCAGTGCCATTAGTACAGTTTATCACAAAATTTTATTTTTTACATTTTTTTACTGGACATGTTAGCAATAGCAAAAAGTAAAAAATAATTGGGGTTTTTTTCTCAAAACTACGTTTTTTTGTTTATAGTGCAAAAAAATAAAAAATGCACAGATGATCAAATACCACCAAATGAAAGCTCTATTTGTGGGGAAAAAAAGGATGTAAATTTAGTTTGGATACAGTGTTGCATGATCGCGCAATTGTCAGTTAAAGTAATGCGTTGTATCACAAAAAATGGTCTGGTCAGGAAGGGGGGGGGGAAAATGCGCTGGAGGGCAAGTAGGTAATTGAACACGCTGAAAATATGAGCTGATTGGCTACCATGTACAGCTGCACCAGATTCTGAGCGCTCCAGTTTTAGTAAATCTTTCCCACAGTGAAAGATGCTGATCAGCACAGACTACATAAATAAGGAATTGCATATTTTGTTTAATTCCGTCTACAGGAAGTGGAGCTCTGTGAGTCATTCTGCGGTAAGAGATAGGGTCCCGTTGTCACTAATACTGCGGTCCCAGTTCTCTGCTTCTCTGGTTAATCATGTAGCTCTGATATTTAGACAGGGAGGAGTGCAGTGGTAAATCTGTGTGCTGCATCAGTGATGGGATTTTCATCTTCTCCATGATGAAGTGACGATCTTCTCCATGACACAACCTTTCTTTGTTCTCCAGAAACAAGCTCTCTTCCTGGGGACCTCTGTGCACCCCAGATTGACCTGCATGCTTCACAATAAAACACAGTTATTAATATGAATTAAAAGGGAGCAAAAATTCTCATAAACTGCTTGTTTGGCATGGCAATATTAAATGTGGCCATACACCCCACTATAAACCTTTCTGAGCATCCAAAAACTAGGCGTGATGAAAATCATCAGAAGCTATCATTATCACATAATTATATTTTTCAACATGATGGAAAATCTTTTGGCAGCAAACTGCGGATTTTTCCCTTTTTTATGAGAAGAGGATACCTAGATTTCAGCACATTGGCTAATACCAAGCATGGCAGACCCCAACAGTAGACAATTTGTGCCTCTTGGTGTGACATCTGCTTGTCTGTGGCCACCTTAACACATTATTATAACTAGTTTAGATTATTGAGCTGGGAATCCCTTTTGATCAAATGGCAATGTAATTTTAATGAGCTTGAACTGAGAGACTAGAAATGGGAAAGGTAATTACCGAGCCGGCAAGACTGATAACTGTGCTGTCACAGGGTGCAGTCAATAAGCAGCATATGTTACTGATGGAGTCTTTTCTGTTCTAACCACAGTCATTGTCTGCACAGCACGTGATGGGCTGCAGAGCTGCTTGTCTTTGTTATATGGCATGTCTGGGATTAGTGGAAAAATGGACTGATAGAGTACCATGTGTATGATATACATGTTCAGCCATTATGCTAGTTTATTGTTAGTCTCTCTCTAAAAACCTAACACACTCATCCCCGTTCATCTACTACTAAAACTATGGCTCAAATGGGTAATATATCCCAAACAACCTGTGCTTAGGCTGGCCATACATTATACAATTTTCTTGAGAATTTTGCTTTAGATTTACCAAAAACCATATAATATGAGGTCAAACTTAAACAACACTTTCAACTGTATCCAATTAGGCAGGTCCTTGTACTACATAGTTGAAGGTAAATCTAAATTGGGTAGAAATTGAATAGTGTATGGCCAGCCTAAATCATAAGTGATATTATATTTCTAGAGAGTTAAGCTGGCCATACAGATGTAGATTTTCGTTCAAGTATTTTCATTTGTTTGATTTTCTAATCATTAGTGGGGTCAAATCGATGTTTGTTTTCGACAGCAGTGACATGAAAATTTGAAAGGGCAGGAAGAAAAAAATTTCTCGAGCAAACAAATTTTCGTCCAATATATGTGGTTTTCATTCAGAAATTACATTTATTTTAAAACCGAATATTAAAAGCAAAAGACAATTTTCGAACAACATTTGTCCCTTTCAGCGTATGTGCAAAGAATTTTTGTATGACTTTTCTTACAAATATTCACAAATGAAAATCTACACGTGTGTGGCCAGCCTTAGGGTCAAAAAGAATATATACTATATAGTGTGTGTGTGTGTGTATATATATATATATATATATATATATATATATATACAGAAAACCACACAGTAGTTTGACTTCAAAATGTTTGATCACATCCACTGGGCCTACTCTAAAGTCATCTATATTTGAATTCTTCCTTCTCTAGTATAAAAAGGCTAAATAAAGATAAATGTGTTATCTCTGCATTATAACGTGTACTATGTTTATATTTATTATAAAGAATTACATTTCAGTAACAAACATCCATTTTCCAAAAAGATGAGCAGATCTTTCCATGTTACAGATTTATATATCTATATATGGAAGACACATCCATATATTAGAGCAAGATAATACCCTCCCCAAATGCTTTTTGCTGGCTCTTACTACTACTGTAAATCTCAGTTCATGTGCAGACAAGAGACCTTTTGTCTTTGGGATTATAATTCACAAGCTGCACAGCAGGCCAGATCTCTAACATGACATCAGGTCAGCATGAATCTCACATGCACAGTCCAATCTGAAATCTCACAAGCTCCATTTCTTATTTTTGGTACAGCTGCAGGTTTGAAACAAATGGGTAGGAAAGGTATGCTACCCTGGTTTAATTATTGTGTATTTTGGAAATCTGTGATGAGAGAAGAGCAAAATCAGGCCTCTGCTGCAGAAAATGCTAGTTCTCTAGCTGTTCTGTTAATTCTATGGCTAATACGTTGCTTGTGACTGAACAGGAATAAGCACAAAGATTTTTGATTGTGCTCTGGGCATGTTGATTTTGGGCATAGTGATGATGGATCAACAATGTGCTGCTGCATATTTGTCCATTCCACAGTCATGGGGGTGTGCTTTCTACCAGTAATCTTAACCAAGTTGTGCTGCTGCAGTTGAGGTCAAGGTTCTGACAATACCACCTGGCAGGGGGTTCTAAATCACAAAGCTGGCTGAACCCCATTATACATTCTTTGGCAGCTAAAACAGTTAATTTATGTGTATTTTAAATGTGAATTTAGCTGCCTTTTTGGAGCTTTAAGACTCACCTCCTAAAAGTCAAAAGTTGAACTCCAGGCACATTACGCTTCACTTAAATATATTCCTCAATAGTCAGAAATATATTAATCCACTTTGTGTGCACCAAATGCCTTGGCAAACCCATATACCACCTTGCAAAAGTAGCAGTGATATATCACTGTGCTGTACATAGCCTGGGCAGAAAACAGAGCTGTGGGAGGGGCCCAGAAAGCTCCACCCACTACAAGCTGCCTGTAGAAAACTACAGGAGGGGTGGAGACAAGGCGAAAAAAATACGTGTGTGTAACTTGCAAGCCACTAAAATAATTCCTCTGGATCGCTAACATTAATCACATACTCAAACTGTGTTAACAAACCATATAACTAAAAAATGTTGCGCTCCCAATCTCCAACAACAACTGATAAATTAGTGACTTGAAATTGTATCCATAAAAATCAAACAATATACCATAAATAAATAAATGTCAAATTAAATATGATGTGAATCAAATAAAAAAATAAAAATCAGTCCCATTATTCAAATAATAGTCCAAAACAAATTTGTGATGACGTGATCCAAACACACCAATTGTGACTTTTCGTGAATCCTTAAATCATTAAAGATTAAAGACGCTCACCTCCTTACAAGCCTAACAGATAGGCTTAATACACTTTTTGTTCACATACATGGAACCTGCTAGAATTTGCTGCAGCATGGAATGGATGTTGGATACCTCCTATGTACTCCACAATGCTGCTCTCCTTATACACTCGTTATCCTTGCAGGGATCACTCCCTCCTTCAGCTGCTCAGGATCCCCTGCTCACTCCTCTTTAGATGTTCCTCAGTGTCATGAAGAATTACAACCCCCTGATGAAGCCACGTGACCTATGGCGTAACGCGTAGGGGTGGGGCTACGACGTCACTCGGCACCAGAGAGCAAACGGCGAGTATACGCACTGTGCGGCACACACAGGCAAAGGATCTTTTAATACCAAAGCGCTTTTTAATTATATTCCATGTGAGTGCATATACTGAACATTTAAATAAAAGCAAAGTCTTATAAGGATAAAGCATTATGTCCACATTTCTTTTTTACTTCATGACACTGAGGAACATCTAAAGAGGAGTGGGCAGGTGATCCTGAGCAGCTGAAGGAGGGAGTGATCCCTGCAAGGATAATGAGTGTATAAGGAGAGCAGCACTGTGGAGTACATAGGAGGTATCCAACATCCATTTCATGCTGCAGCAAATTCTAGCAGGTTCCATGTATGTGAACAAAAAGTGTATTAATCCTATCTGTTAGGCTTGTAAGGAGGTGAGTGCACATCTTTAATGATTTAAGGATTCACGAAAAGTCACAATTGGTGTGTTTGGATCACGTCATCACAAATATTTTTTTTGGACTATTATTTGAATAATGGGACTGATTTTTATTTTTTGATTTTCATTTGATTCACATCATATTTAATTTGACATTTATTTATTTATGGTATATTGTTTTATTCTTATGGATACAATTTGACGTCACTAATTTATCAGTTGTTGTTGGAGATTGGGAGCGCAACATTTTTTAGTTATGTGGAGACAAGACCAGTCACTCTGCACAAGGAGAGAGAGCAGCAGTGACCAGTCTTTTTTACAAGAAGGTTCTGCACATTAGTATACAGATCTGGAATACATACACAAAGCACATTCAAGTAAGAATAAACATGGCTCTTGTATGTAGACAATATTTGCTTAATTCAGAGGTTTTTTTTGTAGACATGGTACCATGACCGCCATATGCAGATTCCATTGTGGAAAGCTGGGCATTTTAATTAGTAGTGTTCTAAAATGTTGACTGACATTATGAGTTTATATACACGGGCAGTGCTTGTTCAAACTATGCGCGGTGAGCAGGGGGGCGGACTGACAACTCATGGGGCCCCCGGGCAATAGGGGATCATGGGGCCCCTGTGTCCTTGCCCACGCTCACAAAAGCCTATAAAAAAGGTACCAGGGGCATTTATGGGGCCCCCTACTCACCCCGGGCCCTCGGGCAGTGCCCAAGTGCTCGAATGGTCAGTCCGCCCCTGGCGGTGAGCTGTCCTTTTCTGCACTTGGGCAGCTCAGGTCCCCAGAGGGGGGAACATAGTAAACAATTGTTTTATATGTGCCAAAGCAGAGATGTGTATAAAAATGCAGCATGAAGCTCTCCTACATCTCCGCACTGCAGCTCATCTGCAGAGCACAGAAACAAATAAAATGTCACTTTGTGAAATTTTAATAAATGGACACAGGCCCACAAGCTAAAATGGACCATTTACAATGGAGCTAGTGTTAGTGGGCCCTTAGACCCAGAGGTTAGTAAAAAAAAAAAGTATGCTTTTAGGTACTTCAAAGTAGCTTTGATTTGTGTTTGAGTTGCTTTGATCTGCTTTTCAGTTGTTTAAGGAATTTCTTCAATCTGCTTCTGCATTCGGTGGAAAGAAGCTTACATTGACACAAACACCCATGTACATGAGCTTTTATGAGGTGACAAAAAGTAGAAACGCTAAGAGATCAAATTGAGCTGACAAGTCTTATGTTTAATGTTAGCACGGAAAATCTACAGTACTTTGGCCTTTCCAACACATTGTAAAAGGAATTATGATTTATAATGATTGGCAGATTCTT